ACGCCCCGGAGGCGCGCGACTTGCGCGGCTCGGCGCTCCTCGCGCTCGTGCAGGGGCAAGCTCTTGGGGGTGACGCTGTCACCCTCGACCCTCATCTTCAGATCCTGGATACTGAAGGTGAGGCTTTCGAAGGCCAGGCGCCGCGCTGCGGCCTTGGTGCCTAAGGTCGGCTCTGCCGCCCCGAAGACCTTCTTGATGAGTTCTTCAAACTTCGCATCGCTGATGCGGTCGGGTTGGTCGGCGACGCTGTACGCGAGCGTGCCGAAAGTGCGGATGTCTGCCGCAAGGAGCTTCGCCGACTCGGCGGCTCCTAGGAGTTGTCCAGCTCTGCTGGAGAATTCCGCGACACTGTCGACGAGGTTCGCCATCGTCCTGCAGGGCAAGAGAAGATAACAAAGAGAGAGAGACGCAAACATTGTGCAGACTGCGGGACCCTACTAGGACAGACAGGCACATGAACTCGCTCTCTTTTCACTCTGCATCGAAAGACTTGCTGCTCCAGCAAGTCTTGCAGTGCGGTCGGCCCGGTGCGAGTTCGCGAACTTCGCAACTCTTATACTTTTCATTCAAACAGCGACCGCAGAGAAGCCTCTTGGCATTCTCGCCGCGGCTCGCGTGGAGCTTGCCACTGGCAAGATGACACCACGAAAAGGCCCAGTCTGGGAGAGTGCACTGCACCTCCCTTCTGAGGCGAGGGTGCTCCTCTACCTCGGGCTCGGCGACGAACTCGTCTTCTCTGTCAGTGTCACTGGCACTGTCTTCTATGTCGCTGAGCTCCTGTTGTTGCGAAACGTTCAGGGCTTCCACCCCCACTGGGGGTGCCGAGCCAGAGGAGGTTTTCCTGTGAGAAACCTTGCTAAGGTTCTCTCGCCTCAGGTTAAGCTGGCTGCTAGGCAGCGCGAACTGTTTCCCGAGCGGCTGGTCGGGAAGGAAGTCGCCATCTCTGATGGCAATGAGAACTTCCTCCAGAGCCCGCGCTGCGGGGATGAGCACGTTACGGCTGTACGTCTCAGTGCTCCGAGCACTGTCGTGGACATGGTGGGCGAGGAGCCTGCGCAGATCCAGGTTGACGCCAGCCTGCGAGGCCCATGTGAGGCACGTCGCTTTGAGACTGTGACTGCTAAGGCGCTCTGCGTCTTCACAGCCGGCGTTCGACAGCGCGCTGCGCAGCCAGGAGGTTATTTCTTGAGAGTTCATCGGGCGATCTGCTAGATCACCATCCGATGTGAAGGCAGGGATCACTGACCCGAGCGGGATTTCTCCGCTGGAGCTGAGGCCCAGCTTTTCACGATTTGCGAGCCACTGACTCACCCACGACTCTTCGAAGAAAACCACCGGGGCTACCAGCGGGAGCAGTAGGCGGCTTCTAGCCCCTACGGCGGTTTTCGCTTTGTGCACGTTCGCCTGCATCCACACTGTGGCGCAGGGGTCCTCTGGGAGCTCGACCGAGAAAGAGGCAACTCGGGCCGCGTCACTGGCGCGGGCGCATGCGAAGAGCATGAACAACAAGCCCCCAGACACGACACTGTCGTACACAGAGCCAGACAGCGCGATGCGCTCAAGGGTGGCCACCTCTGAGGCCTTGAGGGCGGGGGCCCGTTTCGGCGGAGGCGCGCTGGCTTCCGTGCTCTTACAAAGGCCCACGATACGGGAGCTGGTCACCTCCGACTCGAAGGACAGACCGAAGACTCCCGAGCACCAGTTCAGACTCTGAATCAGGCTCGAGGGGCTGCTAGCCCCTTTCCCATTTCTCATCATCCACTGGATGTAGCGCCAAGTGGCACGCTCGGACACTGGGAAGGGCACCACCACTGGGTCTTGGGAGTTTGCCCACTGGACAAAATTGCTGAGAGAGTTGAGGCGGCGAACCACTGTATTGGTGGCCTTGTAGCTGAGCGCTGCCTCGATGCTGAAGTCGAGCTCGTCCAGGTCGACGCAACCGGCCTCGTCGGCACACTGTGAGACGATCTCGAAGGCCTCTGGCCAGGCTTTTACCAAGGCCGTCAGTTTGAAAACCGCGCTGTCGCGGCGGTCGCCTTCGTACGCTGTACGACGGGAGCAGACCTTAAGTGCGAAGGCCGTGTCTTCCGCTACTAGCGGCTGGGTGCTAGCGGAAGCTTTCCGCTTGAGCATCAGGCTTGACTCGTGCAACACTGGCACGGGGCCCACGGAGGCGGGGCGAGTCACTGACAGCTCCCAGGGCCAGCTTGCATTACGCGCAAACCATGAAGCTGATTCCCACGGCTGACGAGCACCAGCTCGGCGTGGTATGGACGACCAGAGGTTACTAACCTGGTCGTTGAAGTCGCCCTCCGGGGCGCTGCCCCTGGGCAGCATCCTTGACACAAGGAAGAGGAGCACTGCTCAAGCCAACGGCTGTTGTCCAGGCGGCTTTCAGGAAAGGGCTACCAGCACACGAACTCAAGTGCACTCACTCTGGAAAGCTCTACTGAAGCGACGCGCTGCGACCCGCACCCTCCCCGGACAGTCCTGAGGGAGGAGAGGAGGAAAAGAGAGCTGGGAAGAGTGAGGCTTAAAAGGCTGCGGCAATCACAAACTGAAGACTTGAGGCCATGCTGGTGGCACTGCACCTAGAGCTACCTCCTGAGGACCTACCAGGTCTCGGGAAACTGCGTGAAGACCTACTAGGCAAAAGAAACCTACTAGGCAAAAGAAGCTGCAGCCCTACAAGGTCTGTGTGCACACGCAACCTGCGGTGTTCTTTTTTCAACCTCGCGGTGCGAGTTTCTGGGCGGGGCCCGGTTGTCGAGGTGCGCTGCACCTGCCTTCTGCGATCCGCAGACAGGCCGGTGAGCAGCGCAGGCTCTTGTGGCCGGACTGTGCCGGCACTACTGTGCTCTGCACCTGTGTGAAACGGGCGCAGACGGAAGGGCCACTGGCCCTTCAAAAATTTTGTCCGAACACTGTTCGGGGTGCACTGGATAACGCCGCTGGCGTATCTACCATTCGCGGTGGTTCCAGCGCCGGTCGTGGTCCCAAGACCAGCGACCACGGGACCATTGGTCCCGGTCCTCGTCGTCACGGCGGGACCTCTGGTCCTTGCCTTTGCCTTTGCCCTTGCCGTCTCTGCGGCGGGCTTCCCGTTCGCGGTGCTCGCGCTCACGGGCTTCGGCTGCCTCGCGCTGCAAGGTCAGCCGAAGGGACTCGGGCGGCCCCCTAGTAGGGCGGCGCTCGCCCCTGTACTCGAGCTTGCCGTCTGTCCGCGGGACAGTGCCTGGGCAAGAGTAGTTTTTCGCGCAGCGTGTGCAATGCATCACGCCGCATTCTGGACACTGCCAGGCCTTGCTGCGACGTTCGTGGGAAAACTGTCCCACAGCGCCACTGGCGCTGGGCTGATCATAGGCATGCACTGCAGCCACGAAGGGGTGGAGCTCTCCGCATGCACTGCACACGAATTCCGACGACGGATCGCTCCAGATGTTCATCTGCATGTTGTCGCAGACTGAACATGCGAAGACTCGCTGTATCTCCCCCGCTCGGGGACGCTCCGCCGCTGGCGGGCGAGCTTCCTGATCGTCTCGATCAGTGTTGTCGTCTGTTGCCGGGCCGCTGGCCCGGGTCCCAGCGACGCCAGCGGGGTTGTTGCGCGGGGGCTGCTGGCAGGGACGCGGGCGAGAGCTCTCCCCACGACGCGCCACTGGCGGTGGGGGAGGCCGCTTGTTTTGGCGTGGGGCGGCGGCCTTCGCGGGCGCCGCTGGCGCCTGATTCCTGTCGGCTGCCGGCACTGCCGGACTGGAGGACTTGCGTGCCACCTTGCCCTCAAGGGGAGGGTGTGGCTGCGCTGGCGGTGGCGGGGAGTCGCTCTCCGACTCCGACTCTTCCGAGCGGGAGCCTTGGTCATCTTCGGTTTCTTCCCGCCGCCCGCTGGGCTCCTCCACATCCATATCCTCCGGCGCTGCCGAGGGAGCTTCCGCTGGAAGCGGTTCTTCTTTGATGCCCGAGCCCGCTTCCTCAGCGGGGCTGGTCGGGGAGCGGTGTTGCGAGGCCGGCGCTGCGGCCGTCGTAGGAGGCAAGCTTGCCACCGCGCTGCGGTGGCCGTCGGAGGAAACACCACGGGCCGCCACTGGCGGCTCGGTGTTCGCCGGCACCACTGGGGGCTCGTAGCCGAGCAGAAGTCGCTGAAGCGCGACTGCATTGGCCTCGGTGCCGCCACTGGCGGGCTTGGTCCAGCCAGCGAGTTCCGCTGCCTCTGCCGCATTCACCACCACGTCCCCTATCTCTGATAGGGAGACGGCGGCCTCGTAGATGGCGGCCCTCTGGGCCTCCGGCACTGCGCTGAGCGCCTGCAGCATCTGCTCGTTTGTCGGGTTTGCCATCGCTGATGGCAGACAGAGGCTTCCGCTGAAAGCGGGGTTGCTGTAGGCACGGGGGGGCGACTTACTAAGCTGAAAAAGGCTGCGGAGGAGAAGCACTGCTTGAAAACCGACACGGTTTAAAAAGCTGACTCAGCTGAGGAGACCTACCAGGCTCGCGTGACACACGACTGAGAAAGACTAGCGGCGATCTTTTGCCGCCCTTCAAAGCATGCCGTCGGCCCGCCGCTGTGGGCGAGGTTCCAAAAACCTCGGAGACGCCCGCCCTGCAGAGGCTGCCGAGCTGTCGGCGGTGAACCAAAAAGAGGTGCACTGCACCAAAAAGGGGGGGCGACTCGCTGAGAAGCCAGCAGCTACGCGCTGCACTCAAAGCCTAACGGCGGCCGCCCCTGACGCCGCGGTTTCGGGGTCGCTGACCCCGACTGCTGCGGTAGCAGTTGTCGCATTCGTGATGATTGTGGGGGCTCCTGCCCACTGAGCAGTGCCGCCCACAAATCGCCATACCCTGGGAGATGCAGCCCTGCTGCGCGCAGGGCATGCAACACATGAGGTCGCCTCGCCTCTCCGGGTACCTCTCCCATCTCTCTGAGTTGGGGGCTGCCCAATAGGGCCATTCATGCACGTCTGTGACGTGCAACTGTGGAGAGACTCTCCTAGCGTGCGTAACTAACGCACGAAGGCCGGGGTACCTGTTGTCGGTCGCTGACCCGAGGTTACGCCAATCGTTATTTTGGGGGTCCTCCCCAGGCTGGAACTGCCAGCCTCGCTGGCGATTGCGACGCTGCGGTCTGGACACGACCACAGTGTTCGCGTTGGGCGCGAACGGCACTGCCGTTGCGGCCTGGCTGCTAGCCAGGGATACCTCGGAATCTCCCGAGTTCTGATCACTGTCAGTGTCGATAACTTCAATGGCAGGCTCCGCCTCTGGCGGAGCGACGTCGGCAGCTTCGGCTGCGGGCGGGCTGCCTGTTGTGGCCGAAGCGGGCTTAGCAGGAGCGGCCGCTGGCGGCGGCAAGGGAGGGTCCGAGGCTGATGCCGACGCTGTCGGCAGAGCGGTGCTGGACGAGGCGGTGGGGTCAGTGCTGCCGCTGGCAGCTTTGTGAGTCTTCTTCTTTTTCTTCTCCGAAGGGAGAATCTTGACCCAACCACCCTTGCCTTTGCCCTTACCCTCTGGGTGCCAATGGAAGCCGCTGGCTTCCACCTTAGTGGCCACGTGGCCCTCTAGGGCGTCCACCCAATTAAGTCTCCACTGGAGTTTGGGGACATTATCCTCCTCCCCGCTGGGGGGCCAGTCAAAAAGGCCGGTATACGGCCAGCCAGGCGTGGCCGCTGGCCGCATAGGCACGTCGCGCTGCGACATCGTATACCGGTGCATCGGATAGGCACTGCCTGAGGTGTCCGGTTGTTCCCCTTGCATCTGCGCAAAAGGGTAAAAGGGAGGCCAAACTTTGGACTCCCCTTCCCCTGCTCGATTCAGGGATTCGTGGTCGTCGCTGACGACCGCGGGGTCTACCCGCATGGCACAGCTAATGGCCCAGAGGAGATAACTTATCTCCTGTTGTGCCATCTCTTCACGCATGGCCTGCTCAAGCACAAAAATTGGATTGCACTGCAAAAAACGGAGGCAGGAGCGACACTGTCGCACGCGTTGCAGGCATTGTGGCGCTGCCAACTGATTTTCTCGACCGTCCCTTCTAGGGTACGGCGCCTCTGGCGACTCAGCCGCGTAATTGCGGGCTGCTTGGTCTACCATAACTGCCACTGACAGTTATATAAAGGGGAGTGGAAGGACGTCGCTGACGACCCCCACTGCTGCGGAGCACTACAAGCTACTCTACAAAAACTTTTTGGATCACAGATCCAACTCCAAGCCGAAAGCTGCACGGCAAAGTTTGTCTAGTGTCACTCACACACAAGTGAAAACACTGTTTTCCTTTTTCGACAAACTTTGTCTACACTTTCGGCGGAAAATAAAACCCATTCACGCACGCATGATGGATGCGAGATCATCTCGTAGTCTCTTGAACTCGCACACAAAGCTGATAACAGCTTGATGCTCGAACCAATACTCGTTGGTGAGTATAGCGCTGAGAGATCGTAGTCCGTCAGCCACTTGTACTCCCGCGCCACTAGGCGGGCTCGCCTCTTCCATTGGAGGTCCCTATGCCTCCAATCCAACACGTACTTTGTACTGAGTCTCTTTGGTTCTTCTCCATTCGGTCCTTTCTTCAACTCTCCATTCTCATCCAGTTCCACTTCTTTAAAAACTTTCATCTCCAATAGTCTTTCGATTTCTGTTCTCTCCGCTTTCAAGTCCACCTTTTCCAAATCTTCATCTTCCAACTTTGGTGGCCCATCATCATACTCGTGAGACCAAGTAACCGTTAGGTCCTCTTCTGTCTCACACACCTTCTCGTTCCACTTGCTCTGGAACTCTCGACTTTCTTCCAGAAACAACTGTGTCTCGTCGAGATCAACATACTCATCTCCATGCTCTTCGGGATCTTCGCTCTTGGCGAATCTCCGAATGTGGTATTCCACTCGTGCCGCGCTTCCTCGTGCTTCGTCTCCAAGTCTCGGCACCTTTTCAACTCTTTCTTCTACCTCTCCAGTTCCTTCGTCTACTCTTGGTTCTTTCTTTGGTGACCCCTCTCCTTCTTCTTCTGCATTCCTCTTTGCCACTTCTCTTTGAAACTCTTCCAACGTCATTTCATCGGGCACCAATTCATCTTCTGCTTTTCTCTTTGTTCTCACCTCTCCTGGATCATCGTCATCGTCGTCGCTCTCGTCGTCCATTGCTTCTGGCGTTGCTCCAGATAGCGACGAACTCTTGCTAGAAGAACTTGAGCTTCCTTGGCGGTCGCTTGGCGGCGAAGGCTCGCTTCTCTTTTCTTCTTCTACTCTTTTGTCAGCTTCCACCGCCAATCTTGGCAGTCCTGGCCCATCATCAATAGGCACAATTCTCTTCTTCTTAAACCTCAAAGCCTTCAGCTGATGATCCCATGGAGCTCCAACCGAAAGTTGCAAAAGCTCCGGCTGATATGCCTCAGCACATCTTCTCATTGTCCTCGCTTTAATCACTCCTCTACCTGTGCCAATCAAGTTCAGATTGCTCGCGTAGTCCTTTCCAAGAAAGACTCCTTTCTCCCAAGGTTCTCCTTTCTCCTTGGTCTTTGGCACTGCTTTTCCAAACACTGCTGACCCGAACGGGGCCAGCTTCCCTTTGTACGTTCGGTCCACTGTCGCTTCAAACGCAGTTCTGCCATCTCTTCCAACATGAAACCTGTTGTGCAGCCATGCTGCATGTCTGTACGCCCAGCTATAAAGCGGGACATCAGATCCGATGGCCGTTCCACTTCGCTGCTCCACCGTTGCCAACAACGTCTTCGCAAGGTTCCTCACAGTTTGGATATACCTTTCCACAGGCAACCCTTGATGCTCATCAGGCGTGGCATCTTGCAACTCCGTCTTCAAACCTTGTCTTGTTCTTGCCACTTGAACTCCTCTCCTGATGGCAATCATCACTGGCTCGGTGTCCGTTCTAATCACCACTTCAGCGTAACCCAAAAGGGCGAACACTCTTACCACTTCACTCACTGCGTGGTTTATCACCGCATCTCCTCCTTTCGTTGGCACCGCAATAGCTATCAGGAACTTCGTGTCGTTGTCAACACCCGCAAGCTGAATAGCAAGCGGATCTCTCTCCTTTTCATCTCCTTGTGTCCCTGTGAACATAAAGTCCAAGCTAAACACGGGTCGCTGCGCTTTCTCCTTCGTCTCTTCAAAGTTGTCTTCTCTGCTCTTTGCTGCCTGGCATGCTTCACACCAGGGCGCTCTCGGCAAATGCGTCAACTCATGCGCTTCAATCTCTTCCGGGCTCGGCAAAGCAGGCAAAGCCTCTGGAATCGGTTCTCTCTCAAACTCCTTTCTGATATCCTCAGAGATTTGGGCTTGCGCTTTCACTTTGCTCAGCGCAACCTCTTTCTTCAGTCTTTTCCACAAAATCTCTTTCGATCCATTCTTCGAGATATGCAGATACTTGCACGCCGCTTTCATCTCCTTCAACTCACTCTGGCGCGTCAACTTCATTGGTCCAATCACCATTACTTCTTCCTCATCTTCACCAATCACTGGAACTCCTCTCTTCGGTTCCTCTTTCTCACTTCCCTTTTTGTCTTTCGAACCTGAGGAGGTACCTGTGACCTCCATTGGCACTCCTTCTTGTGCCAGTTCTCTTTCAAGCTCTTCCAAATTCGTGAGCAACCCATAGTCACTAGGTTCCTTCAATCCCTTTTCCAACAAGGTGACCATCACCTCAAACCTTGCTTGAGGACTCGCCCCAAGTTGCACTCTTTCGCGATCCTTCCAGATCTCCGTACACTCAAAGAAATCCATACTCTTCCAATCCACTTCATTCAACACTCTTTCTCCACTTCTTTTCATCTTTCCTAGCAAGGTTGTCCTATAAGGAAAATAATCGCCTTCATCTCCTGCTCCCTCATAGAGTCTATTAGGGAACTGACCCGTTGGGTCAAACGTCTTCCCCATAAACCAATCAAACCTTGCAGGCGTGCCGTCATTTAGCACAAACCAACCATCTTCATCTTCTTTGCTCTTCAACTCATTCTTCAGTTCTCGCTCCAGCCTCACAGGCTGCACTGTCATCTCTTCTCCTTCAAGTCTCCGTATACACATCCTCGCCATTGAGGAATTCCTTTTGAAGTATATCGGTATCCGAACACTTCCTTTCTTCAACCACAATCTTCCATCTTCATTCACCGTACCCCAACCTAGCTTCCACATCTTTCCTACCGCAAACAAAGGTTGGGTGACATTGCCGCAAACAGCACTGTCAGTGATCTTCAACTTCTTTCCAGACTCCTTTGTGAAAACAAACGTCACATTCTGCCTCACAGGCAACGTTGGGATCACTTTCCCTTGCGCATCTTTCAGATGGTACTCAAAGTTCGAAGTTTCTCCGACTTCTTCCGCCCAATCCATAGGCAACACATGGCAGTCAGCTCCACTGTCGAGCACTACCTCACATGCATCCACTTCTCTTGCTGTTCTTCTCACTTCATCTCCTTCAGAAACCATTCTCACACTTCTTTCAACTTCTGTTTCCAAGAACCACCATCCTTGATACCACTCCATCAAACCATCAGTCGGTTCTTCCTCGATCTCTTCCACTTCATCGCTCGAAGAGATATCAAACTCCTCAACTCTTCTCAGCTCTCCTTGAACCAAACCTTCAAACTCTTGACACAATCTCACAAAGTTGAGCTCTTCATCTTCATCGTTCCACTCTTGTGTCATCTCAACTCTTCTTGCTTGGCGCGCTGCTTCAGCTGTGATCTGCCTCACTTGACCATTCTCATTCTTAGTAGGAGGGGCATTGCTAGAGGAACTCTTCTCGTGATCTCCTTGATGGGTTCCTTCCTCTTCTACCTGCCTCACTTTGCCTTTACCTCCTTTTCCTTTTCCTTGATTCTGCCAGCAATCAGCTGCTTTGTGTCCTGTCTTTCCGCATATGTGGCACTCTCCTATGAACTTCCCTTTCCCGTAGCCACCAGCGTCCACTGCTCGTGCATTTCTATAACCACCTTTTCCTTTTCCTTTGTTGTCGTATCCTTTTCCTTTTCCTTTCCCTTTGTTGTCGTATCCTTTTCCTTTTCCTTTTCCTTTGTTGTTGTACCCTTTGCCTCCTTTTCCTTTGTTGTCGTGACCTTTTCCTTTTCCTTTGTCTTTTCCTTTTCCTTTCACTCGATCAATATCCATTGGTTGTGGCCCAGAATAGGGCGTACTCTTCGTTGCGCTCTCCATGTTGAAAGACTGCAAAATGTTCTCCGCGTTCCACGATTGGGTACTCCTTTCATACTCCAGCAACTTTTTCCTGATGTCTGCGTACTTCGTCGTAGGGGTCAATCCTATCAGGATATGTTTCCTTAACTCATTTGGCAAACCTTTGAGTACTGTTCCGATTTTCAGATTCTCATCGTAGGGTTTTCCTTCGGACAGTTTTTCGTATTCCGCAACCAGTTTTTCGTAGGTAAGCAGATAGTCTAAGATAGAAGTCCCCTTCGTCATCTGGGGAAAGCTCACTAGAGCTTGAGCCATTGCCAGCCCTCTTGTTCGGCTTGACGGCTCCAACTCTTCAAACAGTCTTCTCCAGACAGAATATCCATCTGGACTTCCTTCTGACTTCAATAACTTCAATGGCCTGTTCCTAAGATACGAGGCCAAAATCGCATACAGCTTTGTACTTCTCTCTCTTTCACCAACTGTATAATCTGCTGGATTTGGTGGTGCCAGCTCCACTTTCTTCAACTCTTCTGCATAGGTGGGATCAATGAAGCCCACAAACACTTTGAAACTGAAACTCCAATCTGGCCACTGTGAAACTTCCTCCTCCAGATTCTTTGGAGAGAACACATCCGGACTCTTCACCAGCTTAGCTGCAGAGTCGTAACTTCTGGTACTTCCTGTACCTGCAGCACTTGCCAAAGCTTGCGCTGCTGCCGACAGGTTCCCTATCAGGGCCTGAAGGGATCCTCCTGCAACTCCGTCTGGTGCAGGCATCGCCATTGGCGTATCACTCGGTGTATCTCCTCCTTGACCACCGTGACCAGGGGACACAGGCAAATCCGCGTCTCCAGCTGGACTCGGCGTGGCCATTCAACTTTCCTTTCTTTCACTTTCCGTGACACTGGGGCCCAAGGCTCTTTTCTCCTTGTATTGGGCTCTTCTTCAGCCGAAGGTCCTGGCCTTCAGCTCCGCTACCATAAAACGCTTTACGGGTACGTTCCGGACCCTCTCACTTCACACAGATATTCGCACTTCACTTTTCCTCGGGCGCACGGCTGTCTTGGGTGCGTCCCTTGAGCCTAAACACCACAGTGGAACATTTGTTCCATACTATACAAAATCATGTGGTAAACAGCTCAACTACAGGATTCTAGGGCAACACACTCCTAAGCAAAATGTTTGTTAGAGAACCAGCAAGTGTCCTGTGATGGCGCAAAGCCACCGGTCACAACAAGCCAAGCACGCATGTGAAGCTAAGACAGTTCTCACCTTTAGCACAACCGGTAACGCAGGAGTGAAGCGCCTGGTGGTATCCTGGTGCAACATCCGTCCGTTCTGCTCCGTAACCTCAAGCGGCGCCTTGGCAAAAGACATGGAAGTGCGAAAAATCCACGACACGCAAGCGACAGCTCTCCAAAGAAAGTCTGGACGGAAGCAGGCAATGGCAGGCGGACCGACTTGTCCTTCTCATAACATCTATAACTGCCTGAATGATCCAGGTGCGTAGCTTGGCAACAGTGCGGCAGAAAGGCTGTGGTGACAGCGCGGATTGCCCCGAGAAGTGGCGGGGGCAAGAAATCAATGGTAGAAAGTTGCTTGACTGCCTCCACCGTAACGCGGTGCGGAAAGAGTGCCTCCATGACCTTGCCCACGTTGCTTCCACAAGACCCTTGCTACGGTTCAAATGAGGGAGTGGAAGGCACTCTGTTCTTTTTCCATGTTGCGCATGGGGAGAAAGGCACGTGCGGCAGTGACATCCACCTGGGCCGGCAGTGTCTGGTTAGCACGTAGAAGCAAGTGGGAGTGGCTACGGCACTGGGGCCCCAAAGAGCTTGTCCGGCACATTGACTGGCCAATGCATACCTTCCGCACAAATACCTGGAGCAACTTGTTTGGCGGCCCAAGCAAAGTCAGTGAGCACCCAAGGGCACAAGAAGTTCTCCAACTTGACGGTCAACTTTCTGACGGCCACGAGCTTTGTGGACGCGCCACTGAACGCAGCTTGCTGGGCATCTTGGCGCGGGCTTCTCCAACCCCTTCTCTTTGGTGCGCACTGGTCTGCATGGACGCTGTGTTGGAGCAAAGAGTGTTTTGGACAGCTCAGCAGCATTCAGCGCTTATCGCAGTTGTGCGTATAGCTTCGAACCTTTTGGCTGATGCCCCGGAATGGCTGCGCCCGGCACGGAGGGTTTCTGGCAATGCCGAAATAATAGACACGTGTTTTGACCATGTGCCCTTCACCGACGCAGCGGAGCACAAGGCGGCAGGGCTAGGGGATGTTGCCACGAATCAGCCTGGGGTGAAGGGGCACAGTGCGCGTCGTGTCTCACCGTCGGTCAGTACCGCCCACATGCTACTGCTCACACAGGGGTCAGCTGCGCTTGAGCTCCGCTATGCCTTCTACAGTAAAGCAAAAACCTTCCTCAACAATGCGCAGCTCATTGTGATTGACGAGGGGCAACAGGACGGGCAGCCTTCCTCAGCTGCCATTCTGGCCAATGCTGAGCGCCAGCTTGTCATTCGCACAGGTGACCCCCGACAGCCCGCTGGAGGGGCAAAGGCGAGGTGCAACTGCGTACGCTGGCCCGCCTCATCGCCAAGCCAGTTGGCATCCGCGGTATAGCTCAGCTTGCTCCTTAACCCGTCTTTCCGGGACGGCTTGCTCATGCACACTCTACCTCCCCGGATGGGCCGCTGCACACAGTTCAGTGGTCTAGCCTCGGACACCGCCACAATGGCCATCAGGGCGCTGAACCACCTCCGGGCGCCAGCCTCACTGTATGCCGGAAGGTGTCGGAGTGTCTTTTTGGAGTTGAAGATGAAGTAGAGGTTGGCCTCCACACGGATCTTAGGGACCTCCGCGGCTGCCGGGTTACTCGACAAGGGCTTGCTTATTTCATCCCATATTCCGAGGGTGGGAGATCGGGTGTGCCCACACCCCGGTCGCTTCACGCCGGCTGCTACCCACTACGAACTTTGACCGTTAGCCGGCAGCAATTGAGGATTCAGGCAGGCCGCAGGACCAGATGTCCCTTGGGAGCCCTCAACCCCGCACGCTTAACCGACCCCCCCTCGCCGCAGGCAGACAGATCGTAAGAGCCGCTCACCCTAGCGCTCACTGCCCGCCAGCAGCTAAGGAGTTCACCCAACTCGCCTGACGAGCAAGCAACGTGTAGACATCCCCTCAGCCTGCCGTGGACTTGCTCGGAACTTCGCCGGCAGGTTTGACTAGCCCCTTGCCCTGGGGCGCTTGAGGAAGGGAGTTATCCACGAAGCTTATGCTGGCGCCGTGGCCTGTCGACCACTAGGCACGCCCAGAGTACGTACCAGTAGCTAACAAGAAGCCGAAGCTCAGTTCAGAGCGCTCTTGCGGTGGATTTCCTACACCAATCTGAGTCCCATAGCGAAGCAATCCTCTGTTACCTCAACCGTCTGTTGGCAGTCGGCGCAATACTTGCGCCGGCCAATACAGTTATGCAAGCTGAAGGCCTGGTCCCTATCAATGGAGTCTGCTTGAACTTAGCCCTGGTCGCCTCCACGCGATTGCTCGCCGACCTCTACCTGCTCATCACCGCAGTGCGGTATCCGCAGTTGTCCTGCATGAGCCCACTAATTCCTTCCCGTGTCCGATTACGATTCGTGAATTGGCGGCGGACACCCCCGCGCGGAGGCCAGTCACGGCAGATGGCTCTCATCAGCCGGGAGTTTACTTCGTTCGGCTGCTGAAGCAGGCGTCTTCGGCCACACACCACGATAGTTTGGTGGAGTGGCTTTGTGTCCTGTACGTTTTGGCTTACAATGTGTGCGGACATCGGTTTGCGGTTTGGGCAGGCCGGAAAATAACGGTCGTCACGCCGACCCCACCAGGGTCTTTGATTTTCTGAAGCATGGTCTCGGCCTTAGCAACGCGCGCCCGGCCAATGCCGACACTGGTTACGCGCACACGGGTGCCGCAGAGGGCACCTTCTTTGCTGAGTTCATTGCGCAACGGTTGCCGGAGCTCCCTTCTCCAGGACGCCTAGCCACTGAGGAGCAGGCTGCATCCCTCTTCACCTTCTTTTATGACCATCACAATGAATTGAGCGCCTTTGTTGAGGGTTTTTTTGGCGTGAATGGGCCTCGTCGACTACGGCTGTAGCACTCGGTCCCTACAAACAAACAGACAACAAACGAAGCAAACAACACAAACTTGACAAAGCGGTGAGACTAAATGCGAAGCTCTACAAGGGCTGCGGCGCACAGGCTTTGCCGGTGTTAGCCGTTCAGCGCAACTACGGAGCCTCAGCGACCGATCCGAAGCAACAAAGAGCCGTCGCTCTGAGCTGCCCAAAGCAACAGGTGGAGCCAAGTCCAAGCTCCGGCCGCCGTTCTAGTCTCGCCAGACAACGGGCAGCCCCTGTGCTTTGTTTCGTCACGATCGTGCACACCAAAGTCCAAAAGTCCAGTGTTCGCCGTGGCGTACGGTTTCCAGATCTATGGGTGTCAGAGTCAATGCGACTCAGAGCCGGTCAAATGCGACCGGTCCCCGGGATCGAAGACTACGATCCACGGTGCAAACCAGTGGCGGATTGGCTGCCGGCGTTCAACCAGTGAATCCGCACCCAGCTCCGAAGCATTCGCCAAAGTACTGCTATGGTGCGCCTGTCAGCGGCGCCCCACGACAGTGCAAGGTCGCCAAAGGCTAAGGCAACGCCTTCGAGGCCCAAGGACCTGGCATCACCTGGTCTTGTGCTGCCTCTGGGGAAGTTCTGAAGCGGTGCACCGTGTCCTCCACTGACACGATACAGATGTTGAAGACGAGCCTCGAAGAAGGCTTGGGCCAATGCAAGAGGGTGCAGCTGCTCGGACGGGACAGGCCCCTGCGCCGCGACTGGAAGCTGGTGGCTTGCGTCCTTGCATCCGGCGCAATTCTCAGTGTAGCGGTGCCTTCCATTCCAATCCTTAAGTGACCTGCTCGCTTGCCCAGCTGGGCAACTCCCACGCGGTGGATGCATGGCGGGAAAGAACCGCAACGACGTATGTCGTCGGTTTCTCCGGCTCAAGTCTAACGGTGTCTGAGTCGTTCCGACTCAACGTCAGCCAGAAGCGGCCGAAACCCAAGGTCGAGATAGATGAGCCCCGGTGTGCAATGTTGGTGGATTGGCTGCCGGTGGTCAATTCCACCAAGCAACGCGCACAGTCAGACCAGGCAAGAGTGTAACTGTGGGGAACGCCTGGCGCGCGGTCACCCGGGACGAAACCTAAGCCAAGGTCAGAGTTCTGTCTCGTGCGGGAGACGGCATCCGCACGCCCGGAATCCACTGGAAGAAATTGCGCCCATGCCCGTCAAGTGCGTCCTTCAAGACCACACAGTTCGCCCCCCGCTGGATGCAAGGGTCAGTGCAAGAGTGACAAAGCGCGGGCCAATGTCACTATATGAGATAATCTGAGACAAGTCGAAGCCCGAGTATTGACGTTGGCCGGCATCTCGTTCCGCGCACTTGCCAAGATGCAAGGAGGAGAGCCGAACAGGTGTCAAAAAACGGACATCGACGTATGTCGACGTGTAGGTAGCTCTAGGCGACGCGACCGATTAGGAGCGCCGTGCTAGTTGCCAGGCAGGGATGCGCTGTGGGGAGGGCCAGGTGTGCAGGGGCGAGCGACCGGACCTCAACGACGTATGTCGTCGGTCGCTGTGCCATCACAACAAGCCTTCCGTGGGCTAGAAACAGCCGCAGCACTATCGAGCGATGGGGACGGGCGGCAGGACACCACCTGCCCGTCCCGTCAGAGTTACTGTT